TCAAGAAGAAAACCCACGTGAAACGAGAGAAGTCATCAATCACAACTAGACAGTATGAGTTTCTATTTATGCTTATGACATTGACTGGACCAAATAAATCCATATGCAACAATTGGAGCACCTGGCTGATTGAGTTGATTTGCTTTGGCAGGTGTGGTTTCCTGTGATGCTTTCCTTGTGCACATGACACACATTTTTCAAATGTAATAAAGTCTCTGACAGGCAGGCCACACACCATTTCGTTTTTAGGAAGACGATTCAGATTCTTAGCGTTAGCATGGCCAAGTCGTCGGTGCCACAGCATAGCGTTTTGTTCTGAGACTTTTGAAAAGAGGCAGGTGACTTGCTCAGGTATGTTGTTATTCATGTCTATAATGTAAGCATTTCCATCTCGCTTCGATTTGACAAGAATCCACTCATCCGGGATGACAATGCCTGGCTTTAAGATTAGACACTCTTTATCAGTAAAATGCGTTGAATAACCCTTGTCGTAGATCTGAGAGACGCTTAACAAGCTGTGCTTTAACTCGGGAGCATAGTTGACGTTCTCGAAACTCAGCACTCTGTTTGTTACAGTTCCTCTCTACGTGATTTTTCCGCCTTCACCACCCGCAAAGGAAACAAATCCCCCGTTAAATGTCTGAATGTCGTTCAATTGAGAAATGTCTCCTCTCATATGCGGGGAGCAGCCGTTGTCGACATACCATGGTCTGACGACATTCCTCCGCAACTGTCCCTGCAAAATGAGCGGGATCATTTAGATTTGGGGACCCAGGTCATTTCTTTCCTGGGTGGACCCTTTACGATCACAGATTTATCTTTTAATCCTTTTGATTGTGTGTCATCATGTAAAACTTTTTCAGAGGATGATGATGAATGGTTGGAAGATAGTTTGGGCACCCACTGGCATTTAGGTTTCATAACATTCACGGGTGATTTTGAAACACATTTCTTTTTAGTTTGCTTTGAGCATTTGGATTTTCTACCAGAAGTGGTTGAAAATCCAGATTCACTCTTTGACGAAACCGACCTTGGCTTAGCCAAGTTCGATTTTGGCAAACTATTTGTGACTTCGTTATTGAAAACCTGTTTGTTCTTTTGAAAAACTGCCTTTTTCTTGTTTTTATTAGCCCTCCAATCATCATCTCGAGGATGAGATCTCAAAGACTTTCTACTTAAAGACCTTCCTCAAGACTCGTTCTCTCGTCTTTGAGACAAAAAATGCACAAATGCCCTATTAGGACAATTCCTAGCGATGTGGCCGGCAGTACCACAGTTAAAACAAATTTGCTTATTATTATTGTAACTGGTACTGCCTTTATCTGATTTACTTTCTTTGCTGACATCCTTACTTTTCCCACAAGAACATGAGCAAGAATCAGATTGTGTGATAGATGAGGGTGAACCAGGTTGTGTGCTTGGTGAAGTAGATGTGTTAGCACCAGATACAGTAGATTTTACAAAAACAACATCAGAAGCATTTAAGTTTGACACCATTTTCTCACAATTAGAAACATCAGGTTTAACATCAGACACAAACTCATCACAAACAGGTACACCAAACTTAGACACTAAATTATTAGACTCAAACTTCTCATCCTCTTGCTTTCCTTCGTTTACTGACACATCTGCATTTGAAGTAGAAATGTTAGTATCCAAAACCCTAACACTAGGTCTTGTAGCCTGTTCAGCAGCAGGTTTGCCATAAACCATATAAGGTTCTCTGTCGATCTCTTCTTTTGTTAAAGGAGTAACATAAATGATTAAATGGAGTGGGGACACTCTCATATCCTATTCCTGCTTGTTTATTATCCTTCCATTTCATTTGTTTTTCAATAATAGTTGCAACCTTCTCACTTGACACATCGAATTTTTTGAAATTAAAATCAGCATTTTGAAAACGAGTTTTCAATGTGTCAAGTTCTGCAGTTACAGCAGCAAGTTTGTCTTTAATGTGATCATAATTTACACACTTGTTGCTGTAATCTTCTTGCAATTTCCTGAAATCCTTTGTTTTGGCCTCTAATTTTTCTTTTAATGGCTTTTGTTCTTTCCTAATATTATATCTCTCATATTTTAAATCTTCATTTTCTCTTTTAATCAATTCAATTTGATCACGTAAGAATTTGACAGTCTTAATACAAGATTGAGAACAGACAGTTTCACTAACCTCCGATTTTGCAGGCTCCGGCGTGGTTTGAACCATAAACGCAAATTGGAGTGCCATTATTTCTGATTATGGGTCTGTTTCAGCTTCTTCTTCAGCAACATCATGAATTTGGACGAGATGAGCATTTTCAGGTCCTGAAATATTCAGTGTCTGAATCTGATCCTCCCAACCAAAAGACTAAGCAACTACTGCCAGATTAGCAGTTTCACTATTGATAGCAGCACTTCCACGATTATTGACCACTGGAACCATTGTTCGATCACTGTTTACTCTTCTATCTGGTTTGGGACACTCACGAGCAAAATGACCCGGCTCGTGGCAGTTGTAGCAGCGCAACTTTCCCTTGTTAAACCCTACTTTCTTATCTGCATTCATTCCCCAGTTATTCTTTCCTGTTTTCTTAGCAACTTGCTTAGCCTTGAACACAGTCATAGCACTTTGCCAAGTGATGTCCATTTCCTCCACATCCTCTAGATGAATTTGATCCAAGTCATCAAATGAGAGTTGAGGTGGGAGCTCTCCAGCTATAAAGGCATTGTAACAATTTACGAGTCTAGTAGCAAGAGCTAAGTTCTCATCAGTTTCTTTGGAATGGGGAGCTAGAGCCATAGCTGATGCACTTGAGAAAGAAACAGCTTGAGGAACAACAGAAGATTGACTTTGTTGATGAGAAACAGATACTAGAGCAACATGTCGATGGGAGACAGATGCTGAAGAAACATATGATGTGGTTGATGGAGTGATAAATGTTTGATTCTGAGGCTGTTGAATGGAAAAAGTTTGACTTGGAGAGGTAAAAGATGAAAAGGCATTATTTGAAGAAATCCCAAGATTTGCAGTCGAATAGGAATTCACGTGATTGATTTCTCTTTGCTTATCATCAAGATCACAGGCCTTGATGATTGCCATAGTTTCAGCAAGACTGATACGATTAAGATCTTTCGTCTTTTTAATGACCGACACGTTCATATCCCATGTCTTCGGAGGGTGAATTCAGGAACTTCTTGTTTATCTCAGACTTAGTCACATAAACTCGGCTGAACTCATTTCAGTGGTAAGTGTGGTAAAGCGCTGCAACTGGGCTTCTAGAGTTTCTCCAAGAACATAATTAAACATATTGAATTTTTGCCTCAACATGTCTTAGAGACTCTGTTTCATATCTTCATTACCGTCATAAACTTCAATCAAAGCTTCCCACAAAGCCTTTGCTGAAGTGTATTCTCTAAATCCTTGTGCAATCTCAGGAGATAGTGCCATTGTGAGAGTAGCCAGTGCTCTTTCTTGCTCTTCAATCTTTTCGAAATCTTCATCGGTGTAGTGTTCAATCTTTTTCTCAACAACTGTTTCATCTTCGAGTGTTGTAGTGATACGAACTGGTCCCCTTAAAATACTTCTCCAAACCTTGAAATCTTTCATTTTGATGTATTTCTCAATTCTGTACTTCCATTCTGGGAACCCTTCTGTGGACAACACTCGGGGAATGCGAGTGGTTGTTCCCATGATGGAATCCAATTCATGATGATGTGCTTGACCTTGAGAATCCTTTTTTTTTATTTATGTATTTTTTTTTAATTGATAATGACTAAAATACCAAAAAGATAGTTTGAGGTCAAGGGATTACGGCCGTAAACACGAGTTTACGGTCAACTTTCACAGCTTGGAGTTTACGGTTGGAGGTTCATGGTTGAGTTTACGATTGAAGGTTCACGGTTGAGTTTACGGTTGAGGAGATTGACTGTTTACGGTCAATGAAGATTGACTGTTTACGGTCAATGAAGATTGACTGATTACGGTCGTAAACTGTTGACCGTAAACACCCAGCATTTGTTGAAAACTTGAATTGCAAGCAGATCTAATCCCCTTATGTCACGAAAACACCAAATGCAGTCTTGAAAAATGATGAAACTGAACTCCTCTGACCAAAAACGTGATTGAAAGATGTTTTGACACTAGACTTGCTCTGATACCAATTGTAAGTCCCCAATCTGCTTGTGTATCAATCAGATCCGTTTGATGGTGCGGAATCCCAATCAAACAGATGATGCCAGATCAAATGAAGAAGAAGGAGAAGAAGAAGATGATGAATCTTGTATGAATTGATATGAATTAAGATCCATATACAAGATTCACACACACAAACACACACTAAAGCTTCTCTCTTCTCTCTCACTTTCTCTCTCTAGAACACCTTGGAGCTCTCCTCTCTATATTCTCTCACACCTTAGAATACACACACTTAAGCTCCTCTTTAGCCTCTTACTCACACATGCACTCCTCACCCTATATACAGTAGACATGGGCCGTGAATGGGTTTAGGGTCGTAAACCTGTTCACGGCCGTAAACACAGCCGTAAACTCATATACGGCCGCAAACACCAAGTTGTTTACGGTCCTAGACATAAAAATATATTTTCCTAGAAAAGTAAAGTATAAACCATAATTTAGACCCAACATAAAGAAAGAGGACACACACATTTTTGCGTGTCACAAAGTTAGATGTTTTAAAAGTTATATATTTTGATAGATTTATTAGTTTTCAAATTAAATAACATATTAAAAATCTCATAATACAAAATAAAATACCATAAATAACAAAGATAATTCATTTCACTAATATGTCAAATACAAATAATTATTCCAATAGTGAGTAAATGTTATAAAAAATGAACTCAAGAGAAGCAGAATTTATATACAATTGCATTATCTAGCTTACTATGTGCCAACAACTCTGTGTGTGTTTGCTTTTGCTTGAGTCTCGTTTCCTCCAAAGCTTCTAGCCATGCCAAAGTATGATATCTTAGGGTTCATGTCCAAATCAAGTAAAACATTGCTAGCTTAAATTCATCAAGTCCTTGGCATGAAGTCTTAGATAGAAGCTTAACTGCAATCTCCAATCCACCCCACCCATGCAAACCTGTAAACAGCCGAGTTCACCACCAACGGGTACCCAAATACCGGAAATACCTGAGCTGAATTGATAGAGTCTCGATGAAACTGACATACTTTTCCTAAACCAGAAACCGCATTATCGTATGCCATTATATTATCAGGCTGGAGGGCATTTGGGTGTCTTATTACAAAGTTTAGCCTTGAAAGAACCTCTGAAAAAGTCAATAAAAAAGTCAACAAGTCAATAAAAAGTCAATATAGAATGGAAAGAGAGAGGATTTGCAAGATCTAATTTACCTCCAACAAGAGGTTTAATTACAGAGCCACCATGTTCTGCACACACGCCAAGTCCATATACAGCTGCCTGAAAAAAGTCAACAAGTCAACAAGGGTAAAATCGTAAATATGAAATTATATACACAATTTCTGACCTGTCGGATATCTGGATTCTCATCATTGCATGCGTCAAGAAGGAAAGGGATATATGTATCATAATATCTGGTTTGTAATTAAAAAAATATTAAAAAAAATCTGAAGGTTAAAAAGGTAATTATGGTAAGTACTATGCAAGGTAATGTACTTTAAAGCAGCTTCGCGACACTGCTCTGCCATGTCATCAAAGATGCAAATAGCAATTTGTCTCTCTTCTGTTGTCTTATCCTTGCCCTTCAAAACATTAAAAATAATAAATCTAATTGCTTTAAAAAATGTATAATCAAAATAAGAAAATAAAAAAATGAAATTTGGATTAGAATACTGAATACTTACCCACATGGGCATTATATAAGATGATAACTCATCAAAGAAAGGTAAAAAGGAAGCTTTAAATGTTTTCACCAAAGTTCCCAAAATTTCACCAACCTGTTAACGAAAATTAGTCAAAAAGATAAGGTTTATAAGATTCATGTCAATAGTAAAAAAAATGGTTATTTATTGGGAAAAAAGAAAAGTCAACAAACTTGGTCAAAGACTTCTTCTTCTTGCTCATTTTGTTCTTTAAGAAGCTCTCCTTCTGCATCAAAATCTTCAGCATTTGTCCTTTCAGCTCTTTCTTTTTTTCTGCTTGAACTTGCTGTAATCACCTGTTTTATTTCATCAACAATGCTTCTCACTTGATTTTCATCTAAAACTTGTCCATAAATCTGAAAAAAAAAAAAAACAAATGTCAAAAATTGGAAAAATCATAAATCTAATGTGTAAACAAAATAAAGAAAATGATTATTGACCCAACCTCTAGACATTCATTCAAAGCATCCAACATATTTGCACAAGTTTCTGTATCAGGCTCCTGAAAAAGATCAAGTAAAGTTTGTAAAAAACTAAAAACAGTCGATATAAAGTAGTTAAAAGGATATAAATGGAATTAATTTATTTATAGTATATAATAAAATAATAATCACCTTATGTAAAGCTTCAACTAAAGCTGGAACTATATAGTCAAAAAGTTCTTTTATATAAGATCCATCACGACCCTGTGCAAGTCCTTTCTCTATAGCTAATTTAGCATACCTTAAAAGCTCAGGCATTGCTAAAAAATAAAAATAAAAAAATAAATAAGTATTTTTTTTATTAAAATTTGTAATGTTGATTGTGAACAGGATAGACAATAAACAATAAAAACCTGAAAGAACTGCTTTTCAAACTTCTTCATGAAAGTAGAATTTAAGAAAGGGTACTAATGTAGGGGCAACCTGGTCAATTTACACATCAAGAACTCCATAAGCTAAGATAATAGATAATAATCAATTACAATTTACAAATATCATGAAAGATGACTAACTTGGTCAATCCATGGGTAAAATCTCTCGTACCAACACGTAAGGGAAACATAGAGCTGTTAGCAGCTTCATCACAATCTCCTGCAGCATCCATACTCCTTGCAGCCGAGAGAACCTGTTTTCTCCCACCCTCTCGAATTTCACCCGCCAGCTGTCGTCCACCAGTGGCGCCATCTGGTCCAGCATCACCAACTGCGTCCAGGTTTTTTTCTTTAAAACAACGCTTAAGAAGAAATTTTTATGTCTTTAATCTTTATTTTTTTCTTTTCCCCAAAATTTTAATTTCATCAGGTTCATCCATAGCTTGTTGGACATATGCTATGGAATGAAGTAGAAAAATCGCCATCAGGGGAAGGTAAGACTTTCTCTTTCTTGCATTTGGTCCTTACTATGAGAAGAAGTCGTTCTTAATCCAATTATGAAATTTGATGCATGGGTTACTTGGTTGAGACTGTTAAAGACTTGTAACTTGGCCAGAAACCAGTGGTCAATACAGTTACAGTCAAGTCAATCCCAGGATTCACATTTGTGTTATGTCCTAAATACTCTTCAAAATGGGATTGGTTTTCTTTAGCTAATGTTAAATCTGTTACCTGAAAAATTATATAAAATATATAATATAATATAATATATAAAAAGAATATGAATTTGACACTTAATTACCACTCCCTCCATCTTTGAAGTAAAACTGGCCACCATTGGCACTTTTGTCAAATAGCAACCTCCGAGCAAGTTTTTTCCTAAAATTACAATCATAATAAAATAAATAACTGCAAAAATTGTTTATATGTAAAATAAGTCATTTATTTACCTATAGAATTCAGCAAACAGATCTTTATCGATGATGTAAGCAAGCAGCTTAACTACCTGTAAATGTAAATAAATATTAAATATTAAATAACTTCCTAGTATTATTATATAGTATAGGAACATGCCTTCTCAAGTGTGTCTTCAATGGCTTCATCGCTTAATTTCTCACTTCCACCTTTTTTAAGAATATTATCACAAAATGTGGCCAATAATTCTGCACTTGAACTTCCGGAAACGCCCTTGTTGCAGAATACTTCAAATGCTTCTTTAAGCGCCTAGAGAGTAAGAATATAAAGGATAAAATAGTAAATAACAAGTTATAATTCAGTGAATTAATAATGCAAATATACAAACCTTATGAAATAGGGTGTGGTTCATAAAACAGTCATTTACATAAGTCATGTACTTGTCATGCAACTCAATCACTTTTCTAACAAAAACCTGGAAACCAGACCACAATCAATTGTATTATTATTATTATTATTATTATTATTATTATTATTATTATTATTATTATTAAATAGTTACTTTTTTTTATAAAAAAAATTGTGAAAGTTCAATTTTTTTAAAATTTACCTGTTCCTGCAAGCCAACCACAAGCTCTCTGAGCATGAATTCACCATGTTTCTCTCTCAAAGAAGGTAAAACCTGAAGCAGAGACATTGATCTTAGATCCACCCAAAAGTAAATGTAAATCACATAGGATTTTTCACAGCTTATCTAAGAAAAGTTTATATCATTTGTGGTTCTTTATTTATTACTAATGATAGATAGCCAACTACAGTCGACAACTTTATACTTTCATCTTATAAACATTCATCTAGTAAAGATGAATTTTAGCTGATCATATGAATGATGTGTTTTTCATCACTTACACAATAAATTCAATTTTCTATCAAGTACATAAAGTAAGCTTTTTGTTTTATGAGGAAATGAAATTCAATTGTATATATAGTACATCAATAGTGACTATTAAGTCAAAAAAACAACACCTATCAGAGAGAGAGAGAGAGAGAGAGAACCTTTGAGAAATGATAACCTTCAGGCACAGATATTTGGAGGCTTAATTTGCCCTCATTGGAAGAACCACCATCAACTACAATTGTTTGTGTGTCAGCTGAATTTCGTTTTCTAAGGCGAATTGGAGATCTTGATTTTTGGTACAGGAGGCTGAACTCCTTTTAGCTCAAGTGTAACAACTTATGCATCTTCTTTGTTCAGATCCAAATATCTAATGAGACTGTTGTTCGCATCAGCTATGAATAGTCTCCCTGACAAACAACATTAAAAAGTTTAATGATATGTACTCTATAATGAGACTGTTGTTTGGAGACTTCAGATATAATCTTTCCATTTCTTTAATAAGTTGGTTAGAAGTAAGCAAGCCTGTATGCGATTGAAGAACCTACAAAAACAAGGGTTATATCAACAGTGTTGTGCAGGCCCCAGATGATTGAAATTGAAAATGTACACACACCTTAAAGAACACAGAAGCTGTCTCTACATAAATAGTCCAAATGTTACCAGGGCTATGCAACCGATTGGAAGATTCACGAAAACCAAACTCCACCTCCTTCAGGAATCTGAGGCATTCCTCAAATAAAGTATCCCTGTAAGTACTTAAATTTTCACTCAACCTCTTTTCCAGATCTATGAGTTCTTTGCTAGAAGCCAGGGCAGCCGGCTTAATACCCAAAGACATAGGTATCATATCCAATACAGGAGATATAATTTGTTATAGGAAAAGGGTATCTTAAAATACACATAATAAAGATATATGTAGCCTTTAATAAAATTGAAGTAGACATCTAACCTTTATGTTCATAATAAGAAGTCAATTGAAGTTGGGAATTAGGAGAAAGAACAAAAGAACACAAACCTTTGCATAACAGTTAAGCTACATTACATCTGGAATATTCCCTGAGCATGAAAAATTCCCAACATAATCAAACCCTAACTTACAGAACCATGAAATCAAAAATAATAGAGATGCAAAATGAGTAAATTCAAAAGAAGTTGAAGGAATTCCAGTTAGCAATGGAGTAAATCGTACCTGTAGATGTCGTTATTTAGATATGTAGAGAAGAAGAGAGGCAAGTCATGGCGTGTGAACAGATATGCCGATATTAACATAGAATCTTCGAGAGGACTACTTGGTGGAGAAAACCTAACACGATCGATGGAGATTTTTGTGAGGAGTGATAAAGATGGAATCGGGGAAAAGTTGGAAGAGATAGACCAGAGATTATCGTGAAAGTCAACCGTTAATTCTCCCATCCTTTTGCTTGAATTTGAAACCTAAATCGTGTTTCAACTGGGTGATATGGAAATGTTCAGACAAAATATGGAGAACAAAGGCAAAAGAGAACGAGACAGGGTTTTCAAAAAATTTGGGATTTCGCTTTTTCCCCTTGCTACTACCGACTACAACACCAAATCATTAGGGAATCGTAGTCACATGCGAGGAAAGGTGAGATCGAGGTCACCGGCGAGGTGAGGTGAGACACAGGTTTCTGGCGAGGTTAAGCGAGGTTGATCACGTCGTCGATTGCAAAGCTCACATGTGGAACAGAAATTGGTTTTGAATGATCATGTGTTCTGAGTGTTCTACAAAAAAAAGCCCTAGAATTAATAGTACCTGCGATTTTGTGATAAAAATGCGCGTTTGGTAAAAATTATAAAGCGACTCGTGTAGAGGACACACATTTGAGATAAAGCGCCCTCCGTGTTTGTACTTTTTTTGTTGGACACTAATTTTAGGGCACGCATAAATGCGTGTCCTCTATCCTTAAAATTTTGGAAAACTGACACTAATTTTTAGGGCGCACACAAATGTGTGTCCTCTATCAGCGTGTGTCATTGTTTGCGCGTCATTAAAGGGCTGTTTTCTAGTAGTGAACAATTTTATTTTCCTTCGACGAAACATAGTATCATTATCACTAGATTTCAGTCTAATGTTTATTGTGACTAATTATTAACTCAATGTCTACGAGCTATATCGTTTATAAGTGCTAAACAATACTTTTCAACTACTATGTACAGATAGGGGTCAGACATGAAACACCGAAGGGCAGGACCATTTTGGCATTGAAGCTGTTCTGAAATCCAACAACCCTATGCGGCCCTTCAAACCAGATTCCCCGTACCGCGAGTAGTTAAAAGATATTATAATAACACTTTGTATATTTTATAATACTTACATATATTGTTTATAGATTCATAATAACGATAATGAACTTAAACATAAGCTATACTTAAAGTAGGGTAAGTGTAACTCACTTATAATGGAGTTTAGCTAGGAGTCGGGCTCTGCGGGGGCAGAACTTCTGAGCCGAAGGATCTTCTTCTCGGAGCCTTCTCGCGCTCCGGGAGTCGCCTCTAACACTTAGTAAGTGCTAGGGAATGGGAAGGTTTAAGAAGGATGTTTGAGAGAGAAAGAATGGGAAAGGTGTGAGAAAAATGGAAGCACTTTACATCTATTTATAGGATGCATCTTCGGACTACGTTGGGCGTAACCTTGGAGTACGCTGCACATACGAGGCTCTACGTTGCGCGTACGAGGGGGCAGGTGTCACCATCCGAAGCGAAGCCGTGGAGAGAAAGGGAAGGTTAGGATTTAGCCACGTGTCAGCCTCGCATCCTCCAATAATTTAATAAACTTCTAAATTACGTAACTTTTGCATATGAACTCCATTTTTGACGTTCTTTATATTCATGCGTAGGTAGCGACGTGATCTACAATTTTCTTTTAGATTTCGTCGGCTAATTTTGAATTTATTTTTAAATTTATATTTTAACAAGCTTAGACAGATAAAGTCCGTTTAAAATTCATAACTTTGTCACCTGACGTCTGTTTCCGTCTGTCTTTATATAGTTGAGCTCCTATTAATGAGATCTTCAAATTCTCGTTTAGGTTGTGTCGGCTAACAATTGATCGATCTAAAAATTCGATTTTTGGGTTGAATATCGCTATGCCAAAAATCTTAGAAAAATCATAACTTCCTCATACGAAGTCAGATTTGGACGATCTCTATATGCACAATTTCGGTTTGACGTCTACTACGACTTTCGTTTAGACTGCTAAGGCGAAAAAGTAGTTTAATAAAAATTTACTTTTTACGTTACGCGGTGTCGTGCCGGTTTAGCCGTAAAACTTCAATGGGTCACAACTTCTTCGTTATAAGTTGGATTTTAGTGTTCTTTATATGTATGGAATCCTTGTGACATATAATATAAATTGGTTAAGATTATTTTTTCTAAAGAATCTTCTATCAAAAAGTCATTTTTAGCGGTTATTATCTCTAAATTGACTAGCCCAAATATGCGGGTGTTACACTTAGTTTGAGTATGGATTCATACAAATGTTCATCAAGTTCTTTCAAACCAGGGCTCTGATACCAACTTGTAACGTCCCAAAAATCAGAGTAAATTTTTTATTTTTCAAAACTAACCCATAGATCATAATTGTTTACAAAACAGTGTTTCCAAGAGTAATCACTAAAATCAAAGTATCCCAAAAATCCAAAGTCATAAAATCAAGAGGATGTGTGCATGATCATGCCTTCGCTTTCCCATGATCATCTAAAGTACCTGAAACAATAAAATGAAACTATAATCCAAAGCTTAGTGAGTTCCCCCAAAGTACCACACATAACCAAATAGATAACATCATGTATATATGAGACTTCAACCTCATTAGACCGCCGTGTTGGGCATACAACCTATCTGGACTGCTCTACAGGCCTTCAGCCTAAATGGATCATCGCGTTGGGCCTACAGCCTATCCGGACAGCCCTGGGTATCTTGTCCTTTAGCATAAAACAGGACCGTCTCAACCCAACAACCGTAACATGTCGACATGTACCATAACAATCAATAACTAGAAAACACGAATTCACATGGATCTATTAATCTAAAGTGTACTCGGTGAACACAGTAAACCATACATATCTAGCAATCTAGCACATACTCAGTAAAACAAAATTCCTATATACTTGGATACGAAATCCAGTGGGCCGACCGTGGTGCCTTGGACCCACAAGTATAGTGAGGAAAACTCACATCTCAGTCTGTATAGATAGTTGAATAGGACACTACTCCGAATATCAGTTCTACCAATAACCTATACATCAAAAATTGTCCAATCTCAATTACCACTCAAAATACCCAAAATACCCTCAGGTCAAACATGGTCAAATCCTGGTCAAAGTCAAAAAAGTCAAAAATTCAACTGAGTCAACTCAGCTGAGTTCGCCCAGTGTAGTCATCTTTTACGCTTAGCGTACTTGGCTCTTGACCAAAAATGGGGCCGTTGACCTTGTACGCACAACGTACCCCTGGTACACCTAATGTATGCATCTGCCTCCTTTCCCTTCTATTAAGAGCTTAATTCCTTAAGCTCTTTTGTCTAAAATCCAGATCTAGTCCTCAAATGATGTCCTTAACCATAAAGTTTCCAACTTTATGGTCTTGCATGGTTTTTAAGTGCTAAATACCAAAACCCTAACTTCTTAACTCATTAAGACATCCTAGTTCATGTGTGGAAGGAAACTAAGGTCCAAGATTACATTTTTATGATTCTAAGCACTCCAATACGTCTGAAAGGATAGCTCATATGAATTAGAGTAAACCATACTGTGACAACCGTCAAAATTCGAGTCTGTTCTAGATTTGACTAAACTTAGTTGCACGTATACGCACGACACATTCTAGACTTTTTAACTAGATGCTAAGTTATAACCTACTAGAAACTTGGAAACGAGTAGAATTGAGGATAATGTACTTAGATTTCACATTGATATGTGAATTCTACTACTACTTAACTGTAACAACTATCCAGGTCATTCCTTGACTTGAACACCTTTTCATGAATCATATACACACATCATGCACTTGACCTAGAAGTAGAAATTAGGTCATAGTCTCATAGTATCTTAAGTCAAAGTTGAAAACTAGGACTAGTATACTTGATTCCTCAATTTCGCTTGAATCTCATAATCACTACATAGAATGCCAATAAACCAATATAAATAAATTACAAACATTATTTCTAATTTGAATAAGAGTTATGAAACTCTAAAATAGTTTGAAGTCTCAAAATTCAAGTAATTTTGATATCCAAAGATTTACAAACTCTCAAAAACCCTAAATGCCCTAAAAACCTAAATTTATAAAATTTGACCTCTAAAATTCAATTAAAATAATTATGAACCTTACAATATCAGTTTAAAATAACTAAATTCAGGGAAATATAATCAAGGAAAATAAAATTTAAGTCATTAACAATTACCCTTAATTTATAAGTCAAAAATCAAGGTTTCATGAATAAAAACTAGGTTAGGGTGTATATTTTATAAAAAGTTTGATATTTATATAAAAGAATTGAATTTTTTATAAAAGTAAAAGAGAGGGAGCGCATTATACCCTCAAAAGTCGGGCCCCTCTCTCCAATACACCATTTCCCCAAACCATTATTCATTTTTCCCTTTCCCACACTCCACCTCTCTACTTCTCTCTCTAAAATCTTTTCCCTTTCTTCTCTCTAGAAGTGACGAACTTTGAAGCAGACTCAGTGGGAGAGATTTTGCCACTCGATTATTTAGGAGAGTAACTAAATTTATGTATTTTAGTGTACGATTTGGTGGAGTATAACTCCAAAGAGATGACGAAAGAGATGAGCTATCCAGATAGATATAATCTCTCTTTTCTCACTTTTCTTCTCTCTAAAAACCCCTTTTTTCTCCATTAATCAGCCCTAAAGCCACGAAATTTACAAGTTTAGATGGTGTTTTTGAAGCAACAAATCATAGAAAAGGTAAAGCATATACATCTTTTGAAGATCCCTAATAATTTTTATAAGTTTTCTTGTTATTCCTCTTTATTTTCGACATATTTTTAGTATCTTCTTCATCTTCATCTTTCTTCATGATAAAAATCTTATCATGTTCATCTACCCTTCGGATTTAATGATGATGGTAGTAGATTTTCACCAAAAACATCTTGCATGTTACGAAATGATGAAGATCCATGACCTAAACCTATGTCAAACCAAGAAAATGAACTTTTCTATAAGTTTTGATGTTCATCACCACAAGCACCCTAAGATTTCTTTCAAAAACAAACATTGAACATTTCAAACTCATGATTGGTCTTCAAACCAACATGCATGTGATGATCTTCAAGCTTAGATGCTAGATGATCAAAGTTTGTTGCTAAAAGCTTTCAAATATGTTCATAAATGATATATTCACAAATAAATATCTAAAACTTCTTTTCTGAGCAAATCCGATTTTCCCAGAATCCCACCGACAAAATGAGAAGTTATGCAAATTTTCAGAAAATAATTCATTTTTATAGAATTATTAAAATTATTGTAAGAAAATAGAGAAATAATTCATATAAAATACTCTATGAGGTTCATAAATCCTGGATAAATTTGTGGATGACCCTTAAAGTTAATAAAGTCTTCGCATTAAGTTTCATCGATTTTGGTTACTGTTTGATAGGATTTTTAAATTTTCTTTTCTTTATTTTCAATAAATCATAAAACCATGTTAGAGAATGTGAAAAGCCAACTTATGATTTTTCGCAGCTTCTATACCACGTGGGATATGCA